AAAAAGGAGCCGCGCTGCTATAGAAACATTTCCGACAATCCCGGGGTCTTTCCAATTGTATTTATTTGTTGAAAGGCTACGCGACGCTTTCCTCTGAGCTCGCTTTTTCTCCCCACCCTCCGATCCTGGCTTCCTCTGCAGAACGCCCCTTTTTTTCCTTGCCGAAAGTCCCGTTATCAAAGTGGACACGATGCCCGCACCCTCTTTCAGACAACCCAACGCTTCCCACCCGCCTTACCCCTTCACACACTCACGCTTGTCTCCGAGCGATAAGGCGATGCATGGGAGTCGCCATCTTAGCCACCGGCCGGGAACTGCCGCCCGCTGCATGCCGGGAACTCCACCCTGCCTCTCTTCCCGCCCTCTTGGAGGAGGGACGTGGAAACGCTCCGGCGACCCAACCACAAGGGAGCGGTGCCAGGAGGTGCTCGATTGGAGGAGAGGGGAGAGGGACGTGGAAACGCTCCGGCGACCCAACCACAAGGGGGCGGTGCCAGGAGGTGCTCGAGGGGAGGGGAGGGGACAAAAAACCTTTGCGTCTTTTCCCTCGTTCTTCAACCCTTTGTCGCGGTCCAGGTAGCGTCTTTTCCCTCGTTCTTAAACCCTTTGTCGCGGTCCAGGTTCATGAATTACCTTTCATTCGTCTCCTTGTCGCGACGTTTTCTTTGAAAAGCACGAAGTTCTGTTTCAGACGGGCTCCCTAGGGGGTGAAGCCGAGTGTTTTGCATTCATTGCAGGTTATCTTCTGTGCTACGAAGTTTTCACAAATAGAAAAGTAGGACGGGCATGTTAACTGCTTTTTCTCTGATGCGTTTTTCAAAGTTGTTGGGTTTTTAAAATTCGTAACGTGGGAATGCTTCGAAACACTGTAGTTTCCCACCACTCTGAACGAACACACTGTGCTTTATCGCATGGTAGAATCTTGTGGAGGTAAAAATGGACTATTAAACTGCTTCAAGATGGGAGGGTATTTAAATAGTCCCCTATGTTAAAAACAAAGAAACACGACGGAAGCTTACCTAACCACATTTTCCACTCTCTTTTTGAGTTCCTAATTTGCAATGAGTTATTGCTATTTGCAACCCTGTATGGTGCAGCAGCAGCAGCCAGCACTTAAACCAGGGGTCTCAAACTCAATTTACCTGGGGGCCGCTGGAGGCAGAGTCTGGGTGAGGCTGGGCCGCATCAGATTTTCCACCAAGCGGAGGAAGAGCCCGAGGAAGCCGCCCAGGAGTTTCCTTAGCCCAGCTGGGGCTCTGAGGAGGAGGGGTACGAGAGCCCTCGTCACCAGCCACGACCCCCTCTGGCTCCTTCTTCACTACCACCACCACCAGGACAAAGAAGCGGAGAAGGGAGCGACGGCAACTGCCTGGGGGGGGGTGGCAACATAAAATTTTAAAAACCCTCATAGAATTTGCCTTGCCAAAGGAGAAAAGCCCCCACCAGTACCTGTGAAATTAAACAGAATGGGGCAGCCCCCCCACAGGTGCGTGCACATGCACACGCATGCATGCAAACATACACAGAGGTCCGACAACCTTCCTCTGAGGGACCCCTCAAAAAGGTGCACTCAGCAGCAGCAGCAGCTACCCCCACCAAGACAGAGGAGCAAACTTTGTGAGGCGAGCCCAGGCAGCTTTCAGAACCGAGGCAGCAGAAACAGGAGGAGGAGGAAGCAACACTGGGCGCTGAGGTGGCCGCTAGCCGGGCTGGTGCTGGGGGTGCCGAGAGAGAGAGAGACAGCCAGAGAGCCGCTTCCCTGGAAGAGGTGGCGGTGGCAGCAGCTGCTGTTGGCAGCTTGGAGGCCCTCTTTGAGGACGGGCCGGGAGCGAGCTCCGCTCTCAGGCATCACGTAGTGGCGGCTCGGGTGCTCAGGGAAAAGGGCCGGCAGCACGCCTCACTTGCCAGCTCTCCCCCAAGACAGCGCCTCTTACACCCTCCATCTAGAACTGCAGCCTGCAAGCTGTGAGGCTGCAGTTCCGGATGGAGGGTGCAAGAGGCGCTGTCTTGGGAGAGAGCTGGCAAGCGAGGCGAGGCTTTTTTTTACTATTGACAGCAGAGGACATGTGGGCGCTTTGGGGGGGCAGGCAAGGCAGGAACCACATACTGTCATCCGGCGGGCCACAAATGGCCCCCGGGCCGCATGTTTGAGACCCCTGACTTAAACCATATCATATTCCTCCTCCACCATTTATTGAAGCCATGTCCCTAAAAGTATAAAAGTGGATACAGTATATTTACAGTATTTTAAATGGGGGTTTAGAGAGTATAAAGCCTGAGAGATAGTCAAGCGGCATTATAATGATTTCTGAGATTAACTTTTCTTTCAGATACAAGAAGCAAGCAAGGGAAAAAGAACAGAACAGTCAAGAGTCAGATACTTTTCAGCAACTGATGTTGCTACAGATAGAAAAGTGACAGTCACAAGCAAGAATACAATGAAAAACAAGAAAGAAGGCAATAAAATTGGAGGGCTTTAATGGTAAGGGGTGTGTTTCTAGCACATGTATAAAAGGATGGGATTCTGAGAAGAAATGTGAGGACTCATGCAGCTTCAACAGTTATGTACTCTTTTGCTACATTTTTAAATGATGTGGTGTAATCCCATATTCACATGTACAAAGTCATAATAATAGAATAATGGAGATGGAAGGGGCCTATATGGGACCTGGTTGCAAAAGTAACAGCCACTAAACAGGAGAATGACCTAGCACAAGAAAGGAAATGGCTCAGGACCACAATCGGCAGTGTTCCTTCATTTGAAGGACATAAGAACATAAGGAGAGCCCTGCTGGATCAGGTCAAGGGCCCATCTAGTCCTGCTTCCTGTATCTCACAGTGGCCCCACCAGATGCCTCTGGGAGCACGCGAGACAACTAGATACCTGTCTCCTGGTACCCCTTCCCTGCACCTGGCATTCGGAGGTACTTTCCTTTGAAGCCTGGAGATTATACCATCCCCATCATGGCTTGTAACCTGTGATGGCTTTTTCCTCCAGGAATCTGTCCAATCCCCTTTTGAAGGCATCTAGGCCAGATGTCGTCACCACATCCTGTGAGAAGGAGTTCCACAAACTAATAACACGCTGGGTAAACAAATATTTTCTTTTGTCTGTTCTCACTCTCCCAACACTCCATTTGAGTGGATGTCCTCTGGTTCTGGTATTGGGTGAGAGGGAAAAGAGCTTTCCTCTATCCACTTTATCCATCCCCTGCATAATTTTATGTGTCTCAATCATGTCCCCCCTAAGGCACCTTTTCTCTGGACAAAGGGCATTTGATGACCAAGATGTACTAACTTTAGACCAAGAAGATAGGTGGTTTAAGAGAAGGGTCAGGGAGGCCATACATGCGCATATAGAACACCCTCATTCAACATCCTTAGATACAAGTCTCTTATTTATCATGTTGCCCTTTCAACCATCCCCAGAAACATCAGGGCCACACACCAGAAAGACCACTATTAACTATTGTCAACAACCCATGACAATGGGTGGAGAAGGACTGCAGAGGTGGGATTTTCATTTACCTCCACCCCCATCCTTTGTCCATCTAACAAGCCTATTCAGAGGGGGGGAAGAGTGAAACCAACTTGGAGGATATATCAGGGGTCTCCTACCAACTCTCCTCAGACTGAAGAAGCTACTTGGATGAGTAGTGAAATGTTTCAACCTAATAAGAAAGAAGTCCAGTTGCCATGACTCAGCTTCCAGATAACCTCACCTCGATGACTGAGAATCTTTGCAGATATGCAAATGTTAAGTGCCCTCAATATAACAAGGTGATGTATTACCCTGTTTACCCCTAAAATAAGACAGGGTCTTATATTAATTTTTGCTCCAAAAATGCATTAAGGGCTCATTTTCATGGGATGTTTTTTTTCATGTACAACCATCTACATTTATTCAAATGCAGTCATGTCATCTTCTAGTTGCTGCACAATGGTGGAGGTGCAGGGTTTCACTTAACTAGGGCTTATTTTGGGGGTAGGTCTTATATTACAAGCATCCTGAAAAATCATACTAGAACTTATTTTAGGTCTTATTTTTGGGGAAACAGGGTATCTTCGTCTACGGTTGCAAAAAAATTCCAGTTCCCCAAAACCAAGTAGTCTAATTTAAATCTTTATGTGTATATAATGCAAATTAAACAGATTAGTTATTCCATAATTTTTCTAATATTGTCTTTTGTTATGCCTTTTTTGTTGTTATATGCCATTACAATCTTGGCACCGCTTCTATAGAATACACTGACTGGAGAAGACCAGTGTGGCAAAGTTTAGAGACCTGGACTTAAAACAGGGAGATGCGATGAAGAATCAAATTCCTGCTCTGTCAGGAAGCTTACTGAACGACCTTTCACCAGTGGCAATTATACAGTCAAACCTGCCTTACAGGGTTGTACTGAAATTAATGAGGGCAGGGAGCCATGTAAAAGTGGTATTCTCATTTAATCACTGCAATTCCTTGCGCCCTGTATTTTACTGATGGCAAAATACTACAGGTGGTATGAGGATACCACCGGAACTGACATTGTCAATTCTTGCCATCAACTGACATGTTGCCATCTGATTCACAAGAGGAAATACTGAAGAAATTTAAGGATAAATAGCAAGAATTGAAGAGGGAAAGCAAGACGTGATTTTTCCTCAAAGATTAAATATTTATTGTAAATGCAAATTAATCTAATTTATAAATTAATTTGTAATTTAATTTAATTTATTTTTTTTGTCATAGTAGCTGAGTTAATCAACTCATGTTAAGGTGCTTGTATCACCATCCAACCGGTGTTTCTTAATGGGCACAATAAATGGAATGATCCATATAGGTACTTCTTGTGTTTTAGTTTCCTCTAATCTCACTTTATACTGTCTCACTGAAGCATGTGTATAATAAGGCATGCACCTAATAAAGTGGTCAACAGGCCAGAAAAACACCAAATAAAATGTGCTAGTTTTCAATATCCTAAAATAATGTTGCAGTTTTTGCTGCTGCAAGATTACAACAATAAATACCTCTTTAAAAACTTTGTGTCAGAGAAGTTTGTTTAAAAGAAAATATCGATCCAACTTTGCTGATGTCCTGCCCCAACAACACCATTCTATATTTAATTTCCACCTGCAATTGATAAAATTTCATTCCATTCAGAGTAGCTGATCTTGTTTATTTGTTTTATTGCTATGGGATACATTACAGAACAGATTTTCACACAAATATAAATATATAAATCTCTGCATATTTACTTAGGATCTCTTCACATTAGCAGGACCTACATCTGAATAAACAGTCCACAGAGACATACCATATTCTGAAGTAAATGTGGAGTTTGTCCTTCCAAAAGGTAAGGAAAAACATTGTTTAAAACTTTTCAGAAAC